CCGGGCCTGCAGCAGGCCCTGCGGGGTCGGCTCCGCTTGCTGGAGAACGACAGCCGGGAGGTGGCCCGAGCGCTCGGGGTAAGAGACTCTGAGGGTGTGGCGAAGGGGCAGAGGGGCGCTGTGCGGGAGAAGGGGAACAGAGGAGTGTCGCAGAGATGGGGATCTGTGCCTAGGACAGCCCGTTGGCCCTGGGGGGAGGAGGCCGCATGGACTTTGGAAAGGAGCATGAGCTTCATCCCACAGCCACTGGGGAGCCATGGCTGGCTTGTGAGCAGGAGAGGAGTAGATGTGGGCGGGAAAGGAATTGCTCTGTTTTGGCCATTTCCTGCCAGGGCCACTGTGCAAAATGTCCCCACTGTGTAGCTCAGTCTTCCAGAAGGTCAGTGCCCCTAAACCACTGTGAATGTCTCTCATTTCTGTTCCTTTCCTCAAGGAATTGTCGGCTAGACTGTTGTCTATCCACAGTGACCAGGACCGGATTGTGGTGACGTTTAAGACTTTTGAAGAAATCTGGAAGTTTTCTACCTACCATGCTCTTGGTAAGGCAGTGACCCTCCCAGAATTGCGTACAGGGCTCCCCTGGGGGACACTCCTTACACACCATGTGCTTTACGTTACAAATCGGTTCTTTAGGTGGGGTTAGTTCATGACAGCTTCGCCAGCAAACCGTGAAAATCAGCATGTCCACCTTGTTCTCTGGGAGAAACGCCTCAGTGAGGGAGCTGTGGGTAGACTCGGGTGGGAGTCGGGAGAATGACTCAGGCTGAGTTTCAGTTTCCTTCCGACACCGGGTCATTTCACTTACCCAGAACTCAGAGGCTTCCGACACCGGGTCATTTCACTTACCCAGAAGAGAGCCTGGGTTCCCACCGGGATCTCTTATGTAACCCTTACTGACGTGCGCTTTGGAAGACCTAAACCTCCCCCTGTTTGGAGGATTCGCAGGGTCTAGCTGCATCTCCTTCAATCTTCTTCTTTTTTAAACTTGCTATAGAGCACTGTGCTCACCAGAGAGAGACAGAGACAGAGAGAGAAAGTCCCCCCCCGCCGGGGTGGATGGTCACACCACGACCCCTTCTCCATGCTTCTGGACACACATGCCCAGAATGATTTTTCCAGTCTAGGACTCAAACCACAGGGTCGGCCCTGTGAGACCCGGTTGCCTTAACCCCTGTAGCACCTAGCCGACCCCACCCTTGGTTCTTGAATGGGAGGACAGATTTTTATAGAAAATATTGGGTCACCAGGAAAGTGATGAAGCATGTTTGCATAGAAAAACACAGAAAAGTTCCCGGTGACCTATAGCTCGGCCTCAGCTCCCTCTCCGCGGCGCCGGCCATGGGGGAGCGCGCCTGTCCAGAGGCAGCTGCTTTCTCGTCCTTGGCTTTGAAGGATCATGCCACATCAGTTTACACAGGTTCTGTTACCATTTACTCTTGCCTTAAAACGGAGCAGAGTCCTCACAGCCTGTACTTGGGCCACGGTTAACGGAGGAGGGGAGATGGTGGCGTCCACGCAGCAGCCACTCTGTAGCAGTGGGAACAGACAGGCTGACTAGGAACTCGGCCAGAGCTCCCCCACGGGTACATCACTGAGGCCCACAGCCCTGTGATCTTGTGATCTGTGATCTCCGATTCCAGAGGAGAATCCAGACTCCAAAGGCCCAGACAGGTCACCTAACTGGACCCCGGTCAGGCTGGCAGCTGGTGGGTCTCGGCCTGATGGTCAGACCAGCAGATCGTTGGGTGTGGACGGCACCACGAACACCCTGAGGCAGCCTGGTCAGAGCAGGGCTTGGCTAATGTCAGGGCCGTACGGCTTGCCTGCCCCTCCTGGAGCCCTCCAGTGACCAAGCCTGGCCTCCTAGGCTTCACGCATCACTGCCTGGAAAACCTGCTTGTGGACCAGGCCTTTTGGCTGCTTGTGCCTGACGAGGAGGAGGAGACGGCCATCCGGGTCCATGTGAATGAGGACGCCTTGAAGCTGACGCATGAGAGCCTCCTCCTCCAGGAAGGTGAGCGGGATGGGCTGATGGCAACCGTGGTAGGATCTGTGCTATCCCAAGGGTGCCCAGTGGCTGCAGGAGGCTCCGGGGGCTCCAGGGTATTTCAGCAGGGAGGGTGTTTGTGCAACCTGACGGTAACATGCCTGGTACCGTCACTTCATAGCAAAGACACTCGGCAGCCAAGGAAACGGGGCGTCCGGAGATAACAGGAAGGCTCTGTCTGGCGCCACGCCCGCCTGCATTCCGGGCTGGGTTGTTGCTGTGACTCGGTTGGCACTGCTCCGTCGGCCTCCCAGAGACCCCGAGTCTGTAAGAGGGGGCACGTGAAGCTGCCTTTCCTACCCTGGCCATGGTGGGCAGGCACGGCTGTGGCTGCACTCCTCTGGCCTCACATAGCCAATGGGGCCCAGGGAGAACCTTGGGCCGAGTCGGCCTCACAGAGCACATCAGGGCAGAGCATGCACTCCTCTGGCCTCACATAGCCAATGGGACCCAGGGAGAACCTTGGGCCGAGTTGGCCTCACAGAGCATGTCAGGGCAGAGCTGCCCCCAGGCTGGTTCTTCTGGGCCTCCAGTGACGGGACGGCTGGGGGAGGGCACTGCTGTGGGTGCGGCCTTCATTGTGGCCGGCAGGACGGGGCGGGCAGAGCAGTGGCATGGCCTGCTCGGCAGGGCTACGGCTGACCTGGTCCTGCCACCCTGCATCGCCTCCTCTGTCCCTTTGAAGGGCCCTTCTTTGTACTGTGTCCTGACCACCACGTGAGAGCGATGACTGGCTCCTGGGCTGCAGGAAAAGGCCCCCAGCCCCTGAGGGCTTCAGGGTGTCCCCAGGGCGAGGCAGCCCCAGAAGCAGACTCATCGCCCCCCAGCCAGAGAGTGTCCTCTGAGGAGGTGGCAGCAGCGCCCATCCCGGAAGCTTTGATTCCGTTCCATCAGTAGGTACCGACCTTTGTTGCTCTGCTTCCTGCCGGCTCCGTGGGGGGTTGCTGGGCCCAGGGAGTGTGCAAAGCCCCCAGGGGGCACGGCGAGCGGCAGGAGCCTCAGACAGCCCTCGCTGTGGTCCCCTTCCATGCTTCCCAGCTGGGTGACCTTGGCAAGGCTGTCCCCCTCTCTGGGCCGCAGGGCTGTCACTGCATGACTGGCCAGTGACGTCCGTGTGGCAGGGCTGTGCTGGGTTAGATGGCACAGGTCTACTGCATGGGACTCTCACCGGACTCACCCTGGAAAGCCTTTCAGCGAGCCATGTGGGATTTGTGCCACAGCAAGCAGCACTCAGAAACGGGCACGAATGAAAAATGCAGGCAGAGGAAGCCAGGGACTGTAAGTTCCTGTTTACTTGCTAAAGGTAGGGTATAAATTTGGCTTGGAGTTTCCTAGCAGCCAAGGCAAAGAGAGAAGGTCGGTCTCCTAATTCACAGGGTCTGTGAAGTACCGGGCCACAGCTTGGCTTTTCTCACTACTGAGGCTCAGGAAGAATTCTACTGGGATACCCGCTGAGACGTCCCACTGTGACGTCCCACTGTGTGCCGTGATTGGCAATGTCCCAACAGGGAACAGAGAGCATGTTCCTTGCCATCCTTCACTGGAAGGTTCTGGAAGAGAGGCTGGCAATCATCTAATCCAGTTTTCTTTCTTTCTTTTTTTTTTTATTTTTTTCTTTTCCTTTTTGTCCTGGTGGAAGGAACTGAGGCCCAGAGAGAGGACCAATTTGTCCTGGTCTCATGGCAAGGTGACAATAGAGCCAGGACTTGAACCCAGGTCTCCAGGGTCCCTGTCTCATCCCACATTATGCTGAGCCCCACATTGTGCTGAGCTGCTTTGAGGCCAGCAGCAGAGGATGGATACTTTGGGGCACCTGCAGGGTTAATGGGGGACTTGTCCCTTTGGTTGAGGTTCCTAGGTTGGGGCAGGGCTCCCTGGAGGTGGTGCCCTGTGTGTGTGTGTGTGTGTGTTTGGGGAGGGGTGGGACTTACTCAGGTCCCTGGGTTTGGGTGGGGCTACTGACTTCTTCAGGCCCTGCACTAAATGTATCTTCCCCAAACTGAGATTCCCAAACCAAGGCCTCCCTGTCCTCTCTGTAGGTGGGCCCTTAGGGTCCCCTGGGACCCAGTTGGTGACTCTGTGGATGGACCTATGACACCTAACATCCCGCTGATGGGTGAGTGTTTCTATTGACCTTTCTTCCCTGGGCAAGGAATGGGCGAGAAGGGGTGGGCACTGACATTCCAGAAGTTTCTACACTTGTTCTTCCCAAGACAGGAAACACAGCCAGAATCCCCCCAGTGTGCAAGGTAATAGCTTAGCCTCAGAGAGGTTCATGGGCAGATCTAAACTGACACAGCACTTGTGAAGCCGGGCCAGGGCCCTGGTCACTCGGACTCCGCAGAGCTTTGGAGGGTAATTTCGCAGGACAGCTCAACAACCGTTCTGAGCCCTGCTGTCCTTCCATGCCTCGCTCAGCACCCGGAGGATGCTGGGATGAGGCAGGCTATGCTCTGGCAGTGTTTGCCTGGGCACTCCTGGTGGCCGTGAGGCTCAGCCTCACCCTGTCCTGGGGCTGCTTTTTGGACAGCGGGCGCTGCTGGCAGCTCTCCTCCTGGACTGCGGGTCCAGTGTTCTGGGTCTGCACCCAGGTGGCTGGTGTTTAGACGGTTCGTGTACCTGCCGATGGACCTGCAGGGCGGCGAAGGGTGGGGTGGGAGGGACTTAGGTTCATCACTGCATCAAGAAAGAGCCCAGCCTTGGAGCTGACGGCCCAGAGCCCGGGTAGTCAGTGCGACTGAGCCTTGGCATAAAGATGAAAGTGTCCCCAGCTGAGGACCATGTCGCATCCAGCCCCTCAGGAGTCAGGACTAGGCTTCACAGCAAGCCCTCTGACAGGCGGGAGCTGAGCTCCCTGGCCACATGGTGAGGCCCGCCCTGTCTGCCTAGCCTGGCCCCTAGCATTGACCATACGGCCTCTCTCCCCCAGCTGTGGGCCTGGCCTCGGCGGTGGCAGACTGCCAGGGCTCGGGGCCCGAAGAGGTGACATTCAGAGGAGGTGACGTCATCGAGCTCCTCAGCGCCCAGGTGCCCGGCCTGCCCTGGTGCGTGGGCCAGCACTCAGCCTCGGGCCAGGTGGGGTTTGTGCAGACCAGTCTCCTCAGCGTCCAGGGCCTGGCGTCTGAGTAAGTGGCAGAGGCCCCGCCCTCTTCTGAACCCACCCCCAAGGCTCCTGCCGGGCATCCTGCCACCCTCCTCCCCGCGTCCCAGGTGACAAACCTGGGCATGGTCCCGGATGACTGCTTCTCGCGTCCCTCATCCCAGTCCCGGCTTCGGGCTTCCCGCGTGCTCTCCTGTCCTTCCTCTGGAACGCTGCTGGGGGCTGTTGCCGTGGCATGGCGTTTCGTGGCTGTTGTAACAAAGCACCACGCACCGAGGGGCCACGCCAGGCAGGTGCTGTCTCAGTTCTGGGCCCAGCAGTCTGAAATCCAGGTGTCTCCGGGCCACACTCCCTCAGAGGCTCTAGGGAGGGTCCTCCCAGCCTCTCCACCCTCTGCCGGCCGCGGGCACCCCTGGCTACAGCTGCAGCCCTCCAGCCCTGTCTCCAGCGCCGCAGGGCTGTGCCCTCTCCGGGTGGTGGTGTCCTCCCCTCTCCCTGGGTTTAGCCCACTGTGCTCCAGTGTGGCCCACCTCAGCCCAGCATGTCGCAGGGTCCCGGGCTCCAGCCCCTGGTGCTGCCTCCAGAAACGCCTGAGACTGGGGGGATTTTAAGATAAAAGAGGTTTGGGGCTCGCAGTTCTGGCCGTGTGGAAGGTCTGAGGACATCATGAAGTGGCAGAGGGCAGGCGCTGTAGCAGAGGGGCTGTCTCTAAGTTCCTGCCTGCTCTGTCTCCTTGTCTTCCCGCACACACGCGAGTTCAATCACGGGGCCCCACCCTTAACCCCTCTCCAGTACAACCAAGTCCCTGCACGTAAACCTCAGGGCCCTCCAAATGGTAGCAGGGTGCTTCCAGATCAGTTGCCTTCCAAGGTTCTAGGTAGACACGAATTCTGAGGGGCACAATTCAACCCAGTGACCACGTCACTGTCCTTCATACGACGTTTAGAAGCTTCTGGGCCTGACCATCGAGGTCCCCCACAACTCAGGCTCTGGTGACCTCAGGTTCCACCACTCACCATCAGCTCACCATGGGCTGGCTGGCCTCTTCCTAGACAACTGGGACAGATGTGTCTACCTGCCCAGGTGACCCTTCATTCGGACTCTCCCATTGCTCTGGGGGCTCACTGTCCCCCCAAGTCTCTTACAATAACTCATCCCTGGAGACACTGTTCCTGGCCATGCACCTCTCCCTGTTTGAGGCCCCTTCTCTGTCTCCCACCCAGAGCTAAAGCTGAAGCACTTCTGGTCACCTTGGTGTCCCCACTGCCTGGCCCTGGGCCAGGTGGTCAGCGAGCGCAGCAGAGTCCATCCTTCGATGAGACTCTGTTTCATTGTTTAGACCTCGGCCGAGGGGCCTGAAGAATGTGGGAGTGTGGAAGGGCCCTTCAGTGGGCCGTAGAACTCTGGTCTCATTCCCCTTCCTCCTGTGCGCCTCGCCTCCCACAAGCGAGATGCCCGTCATCAGGGGCCCTGTCCTGTGTTTGTCACTGCATCTCAAGGCCATCTGAGCATCACGATGCATCATGCCCTTCTTTTTGTTCCCCGAGTCTGAGGCGTGTCTGCTTTGGTTCCTCTTGCACCTGTTCATCAGAAGTGGTTGGAGGCCGGTGAAGCCTGCCTACTGAGAACAGCGGCTAGGCCAGTGCTTCCCAAGGGTGCTCCCTCCCAGCGCTCCAGCCCAGACTTCACCATGATCATAGGAGTAGGGAATGTTCCGTTCACACCCCCTTTTTGGGGACCCCTAAGGGATTCCACCCAAGCAAGGCACCAAGGAGTCTGAAGCTTTTCTTTTTCCTGTTGTAGCATAGCCCTCCTGCTTATCTGACCTCTAGAATTCTCTCACGTGACTCTATTAGCTTTTGCCCTGCCGGTATTCTGTGAAATACTTTCTGGTAACTCTTTGGTGACCCCGATTCTCATTATCTCCAAGGGCGATCACAACTTCTCAGCAGTTGCTGGGGTCCATAGGAATGGCACACAGACTGGGGGGGTGCGCCAGTCCACTCCCTCTCCTTAACCCAGAGGGCTGACAGGGCCAGGAGCCATTGGTCCTGTTCACAGCTGGAGAAACTCATTCACTCAACACGTGTTTACTGAATGCCTGTCCTAGTCCAGACCCTAGATGCTCCTCCTCCTGTTTAGGGAATAGGCTGGTGGATCTTCTTTTTCTTTAACCTTTTTTTTTAGAAGTTACTCATTGCTTTCAAGGTAGGTGAGGAGAGGGAGGAAAGAAAGACAAGCACCTTCAACAGAGTCTCACGCCACTGTCTTTACCCAGCCAGCCAGGACCATGTACCCTCATGGGCCCCTGCATGTACACGTGTGTGCCCCTGCATGTACACACGTGTGCCCCTGCATGTACAGTCAACCTGGAAATTGAGCCTGACCGTCCATATGGCTTCCGAACTGCAGAGCACTGTGCCGCGTCGTGACTCGGTCTCCTTTAAATTGATTTTAATATAATTTAAGACTTATGAAAAAGCAGCAAGCGGAGTATAAAGTGCCTATATACCTTTCACCCAGATTGTGCAACTTTTAACATGTTACGACTTTTGCTGTATCCCTTTTTTTTCTTTTCTATTTTTATTCTAAACCCTTTGAGAATAACTTGCAAACATGATGTTCCCTTACCCCTAAATAATGCAGAATGTGTGGTTCCTAAAACCAGGACATCTGCTTACATAACCACAGCGCAATCGTCAAAATGGGGAAATTCGCATTGCTACAATGCTCGTATCTACGGACCGGGATTCGGGTTTTGCCAGTTGTCCCAATAAATGCTCTCTAAAGCCAGAGAACATTCCAGACCACGTGTTACATTCGATTGTCCTGTTACCGCAATCGCAAGAGTTTTTTGGTCTTTGCCTTTTATGACTCTGACGTTTTTAAAGAACACAGACCTGTTATCCTACAAATGGCCTGCAAGCTACTCTAAGATTTTCTTGAATTTCTCAGGAAGATGCCTTTCCAAGTTTCGCGTCATGCTGGTAACAGCTCCATCAGCCATTGGCTGGTGGATCTTCTTTTTCTTTAACCTTTTTTTTTAGAAGTTACTCATTGCTTTCAAGGTAGGTGAGGAGAGGGAGGAAAGAAAGACAAGCACCTTCAACAGAGTCTCACGCCACTGTCTTTACCCAGCCAGCCAGGACCATGTACCCTCATGGGCCCCTGCATGTACACGTGTGTGCCCCTGCATGTACACACGTGTGCCCCTGCATGTACAGTCAACCTGGAAATTGAGCCTGACCGTCCATATGGCTTCCGAACTGCAGAGCACTGTGCCGCGTCGTGACTCGGTCTCCTTTAAATTGATTTTAATATAATTTAAGACTTATGAAAAAGCAGCAAGCGGAGTATAAAGTGCCTATATACCTTTCACCCAGATTGTGCAACTTTTAACACGTTACGACTTTTGCTGTATCCCTTTTTTTTTTCTTTTCTATTTTTATTCTAAACCCTTTGAGAATAACTTGCAAACATGATGTTCCCTTACCCCTAAATAATGCAGAATGTGTGGTTCCTAAAACCAGGACATCTGCTTACATAACCACAGCGCAATCGTCAAAATGGGGAAATTCGCATTGCTACAATGCTCGTATCTACGGACCGGGATTCGGGTTTTGCCAGTTGTCCCAATAAATGCTCTCTAAAGCCAGAGAACATTCCAGACCACGTGTTACATTCGATTGTCCTGTTTCCGCAATCGAAAGAGTTTTTTGGTCTTTGCCTTTTATGACTCTGACGTTTTTAAAGAACACAGACCTGTTATCCTACAAATGGCCTGCAAGCTACTCTAAGATTTTCTTGAATTTCTCAGGAAGATGCCTTTCCAAGTTTCGCGTCATGCTGGTAACAGCTCCATCAGCCATCATTGCTGCCTCCCTCCCTGTCACTGGCCCTTCTTGTTCTCCTTTCTCTGACTTCGTGGGGCACCTGCATTTGTGTCAGGCACTGTGGGTGGCACTGGCAGAGGCTGTGTAGGAGCTTACTGTATGGACGGATTGGTTTTGGCTGTAGTTGTCATAGCAGGCTTCACAGGGAGGGGACATTTGGGGTGGGGCTTTGAAGACTGACTAGAAGCTCACTGCCCGTGTTGCCACTGTACACGCTGCAGCCTCCCCTGCTCCTGGGTGGATATCCTTGGTCGGACAAGGCACCCCTTAAGGGCAGAACCCGTTCTGTCTCTATGTCAGTGTCTTCGTTGCCAGGCCCAGAGGAAGTACCAGGGAAGGAGGCGCCAGGGGACTGTCTGTCAAGCAAGGGAGCAGAAATGGTCTGACTGGGAAATGCTTACTTCACACATGTGTTATTTTAAACAAAGCACTTTCTCTTCCCCAGGTTGGAAAGTGTGATTTTCCTCAATGGAGAAGAAAGGTCATTCTTCACCAGCGAGGGACGCTTTTCCGAGGAGGGTGCCAGGCAGATGCTGAGGAGAACGTCGGGCGCGGACGTCTGTGCCGTGTACAGCTTGGGTAGGTGTGCTGTGCTGAGACTGGGCCCCAGCCCTTTCTCTGCTGGCCCCGGGGGCAGCCCGAATCCCCAGCTTTCCGCACCCTGCAGCTGACGGTTGGGAGCGCTTCCTTGGTGCAGACTCCCAGTAGGACAAGGACGGACTGGAGGTGTGCTGCTGCTGCTGGCACATGCAGCGGACACCCGTCCTCACCGCGGGCTCTCCCTGGTCGGCACGGGGGTTTATACCGCCTGGCCCAGAATGCTGAATGGCTGCAGTTTTCTTCTGCTCTTCCCAGCAGCCCTTCCCTTTCCTTTTGGGAATGCTTTGCTGCCCTGGCGGGGGCGGGGCCCTGAGTGAAAGCAGCGTGGATTTAGAAAAGGCAAAGACCCAGGCGCACGCTTAGAGGGGGGCGTGAGGGGTGGTCCGTGCGTTAGGCAAAGACCCAGGCGCACGCTTAGAGGGGGTGTGAGGGGTGGTCGGAGCGTCTCTGACGGAGGCAGCACCGAGTCGTTCCCAGGCTTGTTCTACACGGCAAAGCCAGGTATTTTCCACTACTTGCTGTGGGTGTCCGACTCATAGAAGTTTTATCATCAGCTGAGAATCGGGAGATCTGATCTCAGAAAATGGCTCTCCACACGTGTCTTGAAATATTGATCCTCACTTTATTGACATGTAAAAAGAGAAGTTAAGCTGATCTCTAAAGACTCATTTAGCTGAATGTTTTGCGTAAATTCGGCTCTCTTTTTAAAGTCTTCGTGGTGACTTCCTGTTGGAGCAGAGGCTGAGATGGTCAGAGGCAGTTAGAGGGGTGCAGACAGGAGAGTCTAGATCGATGCTGCAAGCCAGGCATTTTCTACTCCTGACGGCGGCCGTGGCGTTGCTGGCGTCTCACGGTTCTGAACAAGCCTCCCCTGGCCTCTCCGGCTGACACGCAGCTTCCTTGGATCCACATGGCCCCGCAGTGCAGACCATGCCTTCATTAGAGCTCCCGCTGGCCCTGCAGCGTCAGCAGCGAGACCGTACCTGCTTTAAAGGTCACCAGTCTTTGCCTACATCTAGCCGCTCCCGACGTTTTGCTTTCTTTACCCACCGACAGTGAGTGGCAATCCCTGTTCTGCTTTTGGAGCAAGCAGGAGCTTCAGACGAGCCAGACACAGAGAGGAGCAGGCGAGGAGCCGGGGAATGCAGAGATGCAGCCCACGGTCCCGCTGTGAGAGGGTGGGGATTTGGGAAAGCCTTTTCTCCAGGGACTCCAGGAACCAGCTGAAAACACACAGACCCCTTCCAGCTTCTGCTGGGACAGAGGAAAGCGTGCAGCCAGCACCAGTGAGATTCCTGCTCAGGGTCTGGCCCTCTGGCCTGTGTTAGAGTGACTTTTCTTCTCATCACAAGATAAAGAACCTGGGCTCCAGGGGTGGGCTGGCCTGTGTCAGGGTGGCACTGACAGCTACCACCTCGTGTGGGCAATGCCACTCCCATCTTACCTTAACGTCCCTGCAGGTGTGAAAGAATTTCTGCAAGGGCTGTGGTGCAAAGTGCGGATGTAGGAAGTGTGTCATCAGCACCGGTGGCAAGGAATGTGGCAGAGGGCACCATGGCGGGGTGAACTTGTCAGCTGCCGCTGCAGGGCACAGAGCCTTGACTGCGTGGCTCACTTGTTTATCCTCCTAGGTGGATAATGCAAATGTGCACACCACTCTATACCTATGTACACACACACAGGCGCATTCACATGTGCACACATGTGTGCACACCCACACATATGTGCACATGCATACATGCATGTGCACCCACCTGTGTGCACACATGCATACACATCCATGGATGTGCCTTCATGAGTGCACATGAACATGCACATATGCCCACACGTACGCATGTATACAATCACACATATATTTTGGGTGGTCAGAAAAGGCATGATGTATTTTTCTATGCAAAATGCATCATGACTGTTATGATGACACAGTAAATGTGTATCTCTTCTTCCTTCCCTTTCTCTTTAGTTTTGCCACAGGGTGCATGCACTCACCAGAGAGGGACAGAGAGAGGGAAAGTTAGAAAGCACTCTTCCGGGGGGATAGCACACAGCAGTCCCTTCTCCATCTTATCCTGGGATCTGGGGCACGCACACATGCCCAGGGTGCTTTTCAAGCCCTCAGGAACTACGAGGAACTCGAACCTTGTAGCTGGCCATGTGGGTCCAGCTAACTTAACTCCAGGCCACCTGCTGGCCCTAAACACATTTGCCCACACGCTTTCTACCTGCCTGCACAGTGACATGCATTGCAAGGCCTTTTCACCATCGATATTAGCTGTGAATGTTTTAGACCATGCCAATTTCTCTTCCTCGGTGGACCAACTGAAAGAGACCTTGGCGTATGGAGGTTTGAACCTGCCCAAACTGTATTTCCTGTCTTCTTTACGATGCAGACCTGCCCCTCACACAGTGGGGGCTGTGGGGGATATTTCTAAGCTCCTTTCTGTGCCTGGTGTCCCCTGTGTCCCAGGAGCCACACGTGTCGCCGTAGTTCACAGCACATTCGGCTTTACGCATCGTTTATTGGATTTCCAAGGCAGCCAGGCACGCAGTTAGTGTCGCCCATTTTGAGGCTTAGGGAAGCTCCCGCCCCTGGGATGAAGAGGCTAGGAGCCATGGTGGGTGGGTCCAAGCCCCGGAGCTGAACACCCAGCTGCCGCCCCTTCCATCCACTTGTTCCCTGATGGAGCTGATGGACGTGAGGGGCCTTCAGTGGGGACTAAGTTCCCTGTCCCCAGAGGACAGGGCAGGAGGGAGTAGGTAACTGTGTTCTGCCCCAGCCTGGGGACCTGGAAGACGTGGATTCTCTGGCCGCTTGACCCACAGGGCCTCTGAGCCACGCTCCTCCCTCAGGGGTGGCTGGTGTCAGGAGTGTCCCTGTCTTGGAGCTGCCATCTCAGCTGCACATGGCCAGGACATGAAGGGCGCAGGCTGAAGAGGGGGTGGTGGAGGTGGTGACGGTTTCTCTTCTCTCCCTCTCCAGATGGATTAGAGGAAGCTGCATTTGAGGAGTCAGAAGAACGAGGTAGGTTCTGGCCGTCTGACTCCAGGCTTCCTGGTCATGGGCTGGACCTTGGGGAGGGCCCTGGGCAGAAGCAGCTGAGGTGAACACAGGGCCCTGTGTTGCTCCTCCAGGTGGGCTGTGCCATGGGGCTGTGGGGAGGTTGGATAAGGTGTCTGATGGGCCCTCCCTCCTCTGCAGCAGGGGAGACCTTGGGGACCCTCTCCCAACAAACATGCCACCTCTTGCACTGTCCCTTTTGCAGTGTAAGCCCATGTTCACCTGTAGGTTCCTCTCATAGGACCCAGAGCAGCTGAGACCTGCCCTGCTCTGCCTCAGAGGGGTAAGGCCATGCTGCCCCCAGGGGGCTGCAGGATTTGAAAGCTTAGATGGAGAGGAAGCCCTTCACTCCACTCAGGACCCTCAGGGTCTGCTTCTGGTTCAGAGAGACCCTCTCCATGGCTCCTCTGCAACTCTATATGTCCCCCCAACAGAGGGTCTGCATGGGGAGACTGGTGGGTGGTCACACCCCAAGGGGCCTTTGAAATTCTCTGCAAATGGGATCCATCTAAGCACAAACTCCCAAGGGCCCTATTGAGATGCAGGTGCGGAGGCCCCAAGAAGAGGCAAGGGAGTCAGGGCTGGGGTTTTCCTGGGTCCTGCCTCCTCCCTGGAGCCTCTGCTGGCAGAGCATTCCAGGCGTGGCTTCTGGGGGACAGTTTCACACTCCGCCAAGATCCCTGGGAGCAAAGACCCGTGCATCAGATCTTCCAGCTTTCCGTGGTCGCCCAAGCCTGGAGGAAGCCCTTCCCTCTGGGAGATGTGGGGATCTCTTAGCAAATCTAGTCTTGATGGGCTGGGTATTTACTGTTAAACCAATGCCAAAGCTTCACAGACGAATAAAGACCGTTTATTTTGAAAATATTTTTTTACATGTGAACTTAAAACAGAGGAGTCTGTTTAAATCTGAATTCTTTCCTTCCAAATAATTTCCCTTTCGAGCCCACGTGTTTTCCAACAGGAAATGTAGCTTGTTTGCTCTCCGGTGTGGGACATGGCTGTGGATCTTGCATTCCTCCAAAGCCAGCAGTCCCACCAGTAGGCAGCTGGCCGTTTTTTTGTTGTTGTTGTTCACTCCAGAGAAAGAGTTCAGGAGGAGGAAGAGCGAGAGACAAAGAGAGAAGAGAATTTGGACAGTGTCTTGCAGACGTGGTTAGCTCCCACTTAGCTGGGATTTCAGTGCGTGCTCCTCACTGCCAGTTCAGGCTGGAGCAGGACCTGAACTCGGGCCTCCGTGTAACCTCAGCCCGGTGCAGCAGTGCCCTCCTATTTGTGCCTCTGTGGCTGGGCCAGACCTGGGCGGGGGTGTTTTTTTGGTTTTTTTTTTAGGTTTTCCTTTATTAGTTGAAGGCCTCAGATTCTCAGATCACCTAGGGTGAAGGTAGAGACCCAGGAGCTCCAGAAACCATTTCCAATCTTCCCTCTGGAAACAGTCCACTTCCCATAATGAAACTGGGCAGAGGGCCACAGCATCCCTTCCCTCCACTGTGGCTGGTCTTGTCACTTGTGTGTGGTGGCTTATTTATTTATTATTGTTATTACTTTTAAAGTTTGCTATAAGGCATGTGTACTCACCAGAGAGAGGGAAAGGGAGAAAGCAAGCCACCAGGTCTAGGACTCGAACTATGGTTGGTCATGTAGAAGTCCAGTGCCTTAACGAGCACGCCACCTGCTGGCCCCTTGTGGAGGCTTTTGAGCTTAGGCCGATCTGTAACTCTGATTGGTGGGTGATAATTTCTTGAGTTCCCGCACCTGACCGGAGTTCCCAGTATGCCGACATGATCACACACACAGTCACAGAATGTGGACAGGTACAGGTAGGTGGCTTTGACTCTTACTAAGGGGAAAAGGAGCCTTTATGAGATCTCTCAACTATAGATCTCCTAACATGCTTTTAAACAGGCAAAGAGTGAGAAAAGGAAGACTACTTGCTTGGAATGTCAGCCAGACAATCTGTATCCCTCTTGTGCCCCTAAGCGCTGAGTGCCCCTCTGCAGCAGGCCCTCACTTGGCATTTCATACGACTCTCCAAAGCTAACTGCAAACTGGTGGGGAGGCATCATCTGGAAAGTGATTTTCTAGGGATGTGGGGTTTGGGATGGGAGACTCTGCCCCGGTGCACCCAGGACTCACATTTGAACTCTAATCCAACTGGGTGTGTTTGGGCTTTGCAGAAATACCTCCACCTAGCCTGAACACAGAGGCACACGAGACACTGCAGAAGGTGAAGAAGGTTCTAGAACATTGCAAGACCTACCAAGGCTGCCCTGAGGAGCTGGCATCCTGGAACCTCCATGCACCATCCAATGAGGGGAGCTCGCCTGACGACGAGGAGCCTGTCTTCTTCCTGGACGCTGAGGATGACTGGGCTGACCCAGAGGCCCTCGACTCACTGCTGCTGTTCCTGAATGCCCCTGGGTACAGGGCCGGCTTCCGAGGCCTGTATGATGTGTCCCTGCCAGGGTTGACCAGCATGTTCTGCAGCTTTACGGATGAGGAGGAGCTGGCCCAGTGCCTGGCACAGGCCCGGGGGGCAGCCAAGAAGGCCGGCCTCCCCATGGCCCTCGCCAGGCTCTGCTTCCTCCTGGGGCGGCTGTGCACCCGGAGGCTCAAGCTGTCTCAGGCCCGGGTGTACTTCGAGGAAGCCCTGGGGGCCCTGGGGGGTAGCTTTGGGGACCTCTTCCTGGTCGTGGCCTTGTACGCCAACCTGGCCACCGTGTACCTGAAGCAGAAGAACAGAGAGAAGTGTGCACAGGTGGTGCCCAAAGCCGCGGCTCTGCTCCTGGGGACACCTGGCCACACCTGCAGCACTGAGGCGGAGTCCGAGCTCCTCAGGTATGCTCTGCGGCGGGCCATCAGATGCCGGAGCCCGCAGGCTGAAGCCCGGGCCTGCTTCCTGCTGGCCAAGCACCACACCCACCTCAAGCAGCCCGAGGAGGCCCTGCCCTTCCTGGAGAGGCTGCTGCTTTTGCAGGGGGACTTGGGCTCCCCTGATGCCTTGTGGCCCTCGGACTGCTATCTGCTCCTGGCGGACACCTACAGCCGAAAATGCCTGCCACACCTGGCCCTGAGCTGCATCAAGGTGGCCTCGTTGCGGACTTCTGGTTCACTAGCCGGCTCGCTGAGGAGCGTGGACCTGGTCCTCCAGAATGCGCCACGGCTGCACAGCCTGCGGAGAGCGGCCCACAGCCTCCCCTCCCAGCTCGCCCACTACCTCCGGCAGGCGCTGGCCTCCTCGGCCTCGGGCCCTGGGCGGGGGCTGCGTGGCCCCCTCTATGCCAGCCTGGCCCAGCTTTACAGCCACCACAGGCAGCACGGGTCGGCCATTGTCTTCATGAACCAGGCGGTGGAAGCTGTTACTGCAGCCGGTGTCCACACCGTCGTGGACCACTTGGTGGCCCTGGCCTGGCTGCATGTACTCCAAGGGCAGAGCCCGGTGGCCCTGGACATCCTGGGGTCCCTTGTGGATGCAGCTGTGGCCACTGTGGACCAGGAGGGTGTGATTGCCAACATGGTAGCAATAGCCCTAAAGAGGACAGGCAGGACCCGGCAGGCAGCCGAGGGCTACTACCGCGCCCTGAGCGTGGCCAGGGGCCTGGGCCAGGTGCGGAACCAGGCGGTGGTCCTGGCCAACTTCGGGGCCCTGTGCCTGCATGCCGGCGCTGGCAGGCTGGCCCGGCACTACTTCCTGGAGGCTGTCAAGCTCTTCTCGCGGCTGCCCCGTGAGGAGTGGGGCCCAGACTTCACCCAGGTGCTCCTGCAGCTGGGCCGTCTCTACACGCACCAGGCTCTCGCCCAGCAGGGCAAGTGCTACTACGAGTGGGCCTTCCTGGTTGCCGTGGAGACAGACCACTTGGAGAGTAAGTGCCCTGGCTCCCTCCTTCACACTTCCTGAGCCCTGCATAGACGCTGGCTTCCTGGAAACAGACCCACGTTTTCTTTCCATCTCTGTTCAGGTGCACCCAGGGTTTGAGATGCAGAGGGGAGAGTTGTTTTGCACCATTGAGAGTGCTGAGTGGTAGAAACCAGCCGACATTTGCAAGCCTCTGCGGCAGGCTCTTCTCACGCTGAGCTAGGCACAACCAGAGGGACCAGCCTGTCCCGGTTTGCACAGGAACTGCCCTGGTTTGAGCACATGTCAATCGTGCGTCCTGGAAATTCTCACAATCCCCAGCAAACAGGGCTGTGGGTCACCTTGACCTAACCCTGAGGAGTTCAGAGAGCTGAGGAGCCTCAGGGTGCGGGCCTGTGTGCCGGCCACTTTAGCCTGTGTTACCTTCTTGGCTTTCCCAGCCCTGCACACCGACACACCGACGCACACCCACCTCACCAGGACGCTGAGCAGCTGCTTACTCCAGCCTCAGAGCAGTTCACATTCATGCGAAAGTGGCTGCTCAGGCGGGGACTCAGGCTCCACCTATGAACACGACACATGTGGTCTTCACTGGGGGCTGGGGGCCGAGCGTGGGAGGCAAATGACCAGGCTGGCAAAGCCACAAAAGAGGGTGATCAGCATGATGACAGGGTGACTTCCGACCCCAACTTGTAAGTTAGGGAAGTCTCGTTATTCTGGGATCACTGGGTCGAGCAAAGGCTGGTAGGTGAGGGCTGAGTGGTGCAGCCCGCAAGGCCCAGGGCTGAGCAAGCGGGACCCATGCAGAAGAGCAGAGTTCAGGAGGGTGGGTTGAGGGGAGGATGGTGAGAACCCCGGCTGGGGAGCTAGCCAGGCCCAGGACCGTGTGCTATGGTGTGCTCTTCCTCCCGCGAGCACTGACTGCCGCCGTGGGTGGGGAATGGCTCATATGTGGGTAGGGCTGCTGGTGGTCCCGCGAGAGGACAGATGGAGGAAGTGACTGAGGAGACGTCTATCCTGGGAGATGAATGGGCATGGGATACTGGGTGTCCCTTCTGTCCTGTGGCACCTCGTCTTTTCCGGACAGCCTTTGTTAGAGCGTGATGAGACCACTCAGAGAGGCCTCCTCCTGCCCCAGCCAAACCTGGGCAGTGTCCAGATCTGCCTATGTCCAAACACAGACCCGGTAAACACTGGTGACCCTTGAAGGGACAGAGTTTTAGAAACAGTCTGTGGGGGGCAGAGAGTGGTGTAGTGGTTAAGGCACTGGACTCCCACATGGCCAACTGTGGTATGCAGAAGAGCAGAGTTCAGGAGGGTGGGTTGAGGGGAGGATGGTGAGAACCCCGGCTGGGGAGCTAGCCAGGCCCAGGACCGTGTGCTATGGTGTGCTCTTCCTCCCGCGAGCACTGACTGCCGCCGTGGGTGGGGAATGGCTCATATGTGGGTAGGGCTGCTGGTGGTCCCGCGAGAGGACAGATGGAGGAAGTGACTGAGGAGACGTCTATCCTGGGAGATGAATGGGCATGGGATACTGGGTGTCCCTTCTGTCCTGTGGCACCTCGTCTTTTCCGGACAGCCTTTGTTAGAGCGTGATGAGACCACTCAGAGAGGCCTCCTCCTGCCCCAGCCAAACCTGGGCAGTGTCCAGATCTGCCTATGTCCAAACACAGACCCGGTAAACACTGGTGACCCTTGAAGGGACAGAGTTTTAGAAACAGTCTGTGGGGGGCAGAGAGTGGTGTAGTGGTTAAGGCACTGGACTCCCACATGGCCAACTGTGGTTCAAGTCCCAGACCTGGCAGCCTGAAAATTCTGCCACGTTTGTGTGTGTGTGGGTGTCCAAAGTTCCAGGAGGAAAATAGAAGAGAAGAGATAGCAGTGTGACAACCCCCCGGGGGGAATGTTTCACTTTCCTCTCACTGCCTCTCTGTCTCGGCAAGCATATACATCCTATGGCCAAAACCTTAAAAGAGAGAGAAAGAGAGACCAGCAGTTGGCGTAATGGCTATGTCGCTGGACTCCCACGTAGTCGACCGCGGTTCGTGTCCCAGACCCGGTGGCTTAAACTCACGCCGGGCATGTGTGTGTACGTGCCCAAGATCCCGAGAGGAGAATGGAGGAGAAGGGATTGTGGCGTGACCATCCCCCCTGGGGGGTGATTTCTCGCTTTCTGTCTCTCTGTCTCTCTCTGTCTGTCTGGCGAGCGCACGCACCCTATAGCAAAAACCTCCCCCAGAGGTAGAGGAAGAGAGGTGACTGTGTGATGGGGTGCTGGACATGTCTGCCCCAGGGGAGGGGAGAGCATCAAAATCCAGATCTGCTCTGGATGGGGGCGTGACCAAGGAGCAGCCTCTGGCTGGGAGGGGACCCTTGGGACCTTGCCTGCAGGAGGAATCAAGCATCAAGAACCTTCTGTGGCTGGGAACCAGCAGTTAGCGTAATGGCTATGTCGCTGGACTCCCACGTAGTCGACCGCGGTTCGTGTCCCAGACCCGGTGGCTTAAACTCACGCCGGGCATGTGTGTGTACGTGCCCAAGATCCCGAGAGGAGAATGGAGGAGAAGGGATTGTGGCGTGACCATCCCCCCTGGGGGGTGATTTCTCGCTTTCTGTCTCTCTGTCTCTCTCTGTCTGTCTGGCGAGCGCACGCACCCTATAGCAAAAACCTCTCCAAAAAAAAAAGAACTTTCTGTGGCTTCAGGCAGGTCCTGGCCACACCAACCGGTGGCCTCTTCTCCTGGGGGCCCACCCTCAGGGGAGCATTTCTCTGATGTTGAATTGCTGAGGAGACCAAAGGATGGCCTCACCAGGTGCCCACTCTGGGTCATTTTTGAGTCCTTTTTGGTGGTTTATATCTTTCTAGGAATGTGGCCATTTCATCTAGGTTATGAAATTTGTTGGCGAACCAGTGTTCATAGTGATCTCTTACATTCTTTCACTTCTATAAGGTCATCGGTAATGTTCCCTCTTTGATGTCTCCTTTCGGTAATTCATATCTTTTTTTGCGGGTCAGTCTGGCAAAAGACTTGTTCATTTTGTTACTCTTTTTTAAGTGAATTTTTTCAACTTTCAGTGTCATTGATTTTTTTTCCCTATTGTTTTTTTTTCTGTTTTTTTTTTTTATATGATTATTTTATTGTTTCTACTTGAATCTTTATTATTTTTCTTTTGCTTGCTTTGGGTTTAATTTTTTGTCTTCTAGTTTCTTATTTCTGTTGGAAATTTAGATTTTCAATTTTTTTTCCTTTTTAATGTAGGCACCTGTAGTTATAAATTGCCCTCTGAGCACTCTTTAGCTGCATCCCTTGCATTTGATATATTGGGCTTTGGTTTTCATTCATCTCAAGGTATTTTCTAGCTTCCTTTGTATCTTAGTCTGTTATTGCACTGCTCATAGATACCTGAGACTGGGTATCTAAAGAATAGAGGTTTATTGGCTCACAGTTCTGGAGTCTAGGAAGTCCCTGGGCATCGCAGAAGGTGGAAGGCAGCACTTCAAGCAGATGGAGCAGGGTCTATATCCAAATGGTCTCCCCCTGTTTCACTTCCTTTCCTCATATAGGACTTAGTAGTGGGTACACTGCCCTAGTCACCCAATCTAATGTCCTCCTCTAAGCCTTATCTTTGGACACCATAATTGGATCAGGTTTTCACCTAACTCCTTTACTATACAGTCAAATCCAATATGTGAAGGTTGGGAGCATCCAAATCACAGCACTTTGTGGCTTTGTGATCTCTTCTCTGATCCACTGGTTCTATAGGAGTGCGTAGTTTCATTTTAACATATTTCTGAATTTCCCAAATGTCCTTCTGTTACTGATTTCTAATCTCATTTCAAAGTAGCTCAAGAATATATGAATTCAATCCTTTCGTGTTTACCAAGACTTACTTTTTGGCCTGACATGGTCTGTCTTGGAGAACGTTTTGTCAGCACTTGAGAAGAATGTGCGTTCTGTCATTGTGGGGTGGCGTGTTTTATAGATGACTGTCTAGTTGATCTGTGATGTTAAGTCTTCTGTGTCCTTATTGATCTCTGGATTAATTTTGACAGTCAGAAGTTCTCCACCATCCCTAGGCCCCTGTTTGTAGGAGAGGCAGGTAAGCCTGTGGGTTTATAGCCTGAACTCATGGAAGGAGCAGAAGCTGGACTTAAATCCCATTTCTATCAGGTGCTGTGTGCTCTAGACAGAGCACTGCGTTTTGAACTCTTCCAAAAGAAGAGTGTGTCCATCTGCAGCTGGGGTTTTCCATGCACCTTGCCTCATCGGCTCTGTGTGAAGGCCGCCCTAGTCTTGGCCAGGGGAGCTTCATGCAGCAGAAACAGGTGGCCTGGACAGTGGGAGAGCCCGCCTGGGACCCCCAGCCCTGGGGACTGGAGCATCCACACTGCTGTGCACTGGGCTCACCACAGCATACTTGTCAGCTGTATCACTGAGCAGGTCACCTAACCTGTCTGTACGCCGCTTCCTCATCTGCAACAACCCCAGCTCACGGGAATGGAGAAAAGGCAGGCACCCAGTGGGGGCCTCGAACATGCAAACATCTGCCGCAATGACCTGACAGTGATGTTTTGTCTCCCTCACCCAGGCCAGCTGCAAGCCGTCCAGCGGCTGTGCCATGTCTACAGTGCTGTCACTCCCAGTGAGGCGCAGAGCGTCATCTACCATGAGTTCCAGCTCTCACTGGCCCGCAGGGTGGCCGACAAGGTGCTGGAGGGGCAGCTCCTTGAGACCATCAGCCAGCTCTACCTGTCCCTGGGCACTGAGCGGTGAGGGCCAACTCCACGGCGGGGTGGGGGTGGCTGCAGTGAGGAAGCTGGGCCCTGGTCCCCAGGCAGCCCCTCTCCTCAGGTACCAGTTGATCCTTTAGTGGCTCCAGGCTG